AGCACGGAAGCTGTGATACCCCTCGGATCCGAGACACGGGTTGATCAGGCCCAGGCCCAAACCCGATGGATATCAGACAATTAATATTTTATAACGAACACGAAATACAAAGTGAATAAGAATAATATAATAAGCTGGAAGAAACTAGAGATAAAATCCTTTATAATTAAATACTTAGAATCCGATAATCCAAAACTCCATAAGTTTAACAATTCGGGAATCCATCTCTAGTGGACCCCTATTAAAAATCACAAACTGAATGAAATTAAATAACTGAAGATAAAATCCAAATCTAATATCTGGAAAGAAGTTCTACGTCGTCGGTAGAATGGAAGATCTTCTCTGCTCAGCTCGAACAAGCCCTAAGACTGGAAACGTCTGATACCTGAAAAATGATAAGTGGGTCAGGCCCACGAGCAAGTTTTATACTACTACAATCCAAGCAGAGACCCGATACGCATGTACATCCAAACCAATCCAACAATAGCTAAATAGTCCGTAGATAGATATATGACGGGCCTGTAGTCCAGTGAGAGTCCTGTAGTGTGATTATATATATATATATATATATATATATATATATATATATATATATAATCACACTACAGGACTCTCACTGGACTACAGGCCCGTCTCAACCTGACTAGTAGGCACCATGCGAAAATGCACCCAAAAGTGAGCATGACTACCTAGTCTTAGCAGGGTACACATCCAAATTATAGCCAGCTATGCATCCTAATGCATATACGCTCCCTAACCAATGACTCTGAAACTCAGGCTCATGTCGTGACATCATAAAAATATATTTAAATTCTATTCCAAACCAATGTTTCACTCAACTATTTATTGATCTGACACAAAATATAGGTATGACTTAACTTTTGTAGTTAATCCATCCCTTAATCTAGAGTAGGTAGGATTTAGTATTTTTGAGCTAATCCTCCTAGTATGTCACCGTCTCATACCGGTGCATACAATCCATCCATCCAGTATTGATAATATAAATGACAGTATACATTTCATTATCAACATCTCTAGTATAAGTATAACAACATCCATCCAATTATTGATAATACATATATGACAGTATAACATATCAATATTAACATGTCCAATCATAAACATAACAAGAATGTTTAACTAGCATGCTTGTTCAATACATCCAGTGCTTGATTCTCTAACAAATTTAAAATGCAGAGAATAAATATAACCATCCTGTAACTCACAATAAGCATATTAAGAACATTAACAGAACTAACATGCTTACATATAACCACTCCATAACATCCCATAAGTTGATATATATAGTTCTTTAAAAAAATATCAACTAACTTCTTATTATGCATTAACTGAATTCATATTAGTTAACATGATTAATCTCATACCACTGATACATGATTTAAATATCAAACTCCTAATTCAATTACTAATTTTAAAATTAAACAACTTGAACCATCCACCACAAAGTTAAACCTGAAAACTTCTCTAAGGGGTAAACTGTGACCCTATTTAGCTTCCTATGGTATCTTATGAATTACCATGGCTTCTGCCCATTTAACAAGGGTTTATACCTTACTGAATAACTTTAAAAACACTCTATTTTCAGCCTAGAATGTAAAGAATTCAATCCCCGTAGCCCAGGTTTGGCAAAAAATCAAAACTGGAAGCAAAATCTAAGGAGCCTGCTCCACACAAGGTGGAGCCGCCTCCACCACTTAGTAGAGCCGGCTCCACACAAGGTGGAGCCGCCTCTAGAGCCCAAAAAGCCGGCTCTCCTTGAAATAGAGCAGGCTCCTCCCCTGTGCGTCATCTTTTCCAACTCCGGCGGTGTCCGGCTATGTTGATCCTCCAAACCAAGTTCCTTACTGATTAAAACTAAACCCTAGTGTGTTCCAGAGTTAATTAAATTCATTACTTATTAATCAAAATCAATTGGAACAAGAATAAAGCAAAAACAATTTAAAAACGGATTAAAACCCATACAAGAACACATACTGTTTCAAGTATCTAGCCTTACGATCCGGATTAATTTTAAGATTTCCCAATAGGTTTTAGAACTAATAAGACTCTTAATCCATCAATTGGCATCACTTACCTCATGAATTATGTAAAACAAAACTGTAAAACAAACAAAACTGCAAAACAAACAATTTAACAGTTTATGAACAAATGTTTATTAAACAATGCAAGCATGCAAACCAGATTGATTTTAGATCTTTATCCATTCCTGGAATTGAGTTAGAGATGCAAAGAACACAAGTCAAAGGGATAGAGCTAGTTATACAACTTGCCTGTGAGACTCGGTTCAGAAATCTCAGCGTCTTTCTCCTAAGCTTTCCCGGTGATCCTTTGATTTTCCCTCTCTGCTCTCTCCCAGACTCCTCCAGACTTCTCTTTGTTCTCAAACCCTAAACCAAACGTAATACTTATATTTATAGGTTTACACCAAAACCCTAGTTTAACTAAACCCTAAACTATTTCTTAGTCGGCCCATAGAAAACCTAATTAATGTTTAATTATGTCGGCTACATACGAGACGTCTAAAAACCTAATTTAACAACAACACACTTAACTTAACTCAATTAATATAACCATGCAATTAAGACAACTAAGCAAATAACAATGAGCTAGAAACAAGTAACCAATTACAATAAAATAAAATCTAATTTAAATAAACAAGTAACTAAAACAATTAAATTAAATACAACCATATAAAACAAGTCATTAAATAATACCCAATTAATTAAATCAAAACAAATTCACCATTAAATAATTAAAAACACAATGTAAACAATTAAATAAATTCCAGAACTATCCCTGTTAAATTCGGGGTATTACAGAAGCTGAGTACATAACACTTGCTAATACTACTTTTGAGCTTCTATGGTTGCATTGGCTCATTCAGGACACGGGAGTTTCTTCATGCACTGCCACTCCTATCTATTGTGATAACCGGAATGCAATCCAAATTGCACATAATGATGTATTTCACGAGCGCATTAAACACATTGAGATCAATTTCCATTTTATTCGTCATCATCTTCTTCAAAAGACCTTACAGTTGCAGTCCGTTGCTTTTCATGATCAGATAGCAGATATCTTCACTAATTTCTTCCTCTAGGCCGCTTCAAGGATCTCGTTTCCAAACTCAAGACGATTTCATATAACCCACATATTGTATATTATATAAGGGTTAGGATTACCCGTCTTCACCTACCCATGTTAGTTGTTACTATGTAACATTATCATATAGGAGTTTACTTGTTCTTCACACATAACCTTTCCTATATGAACCATTTGTACTCTTATATTGATCATCTCATATCAATACAATACAATGTATCTCTCTCCCTATTCCTTTATTTCTAACACCTTCAGGGAAGAAGTTATCAATGAATCTTCTCTTTGACACCTTCCTATAACTCGTTTGTTCACTACTCATAATGAACTCTTATATGAGACTAGGACTTTCATCCCTCACTGAAAGTAAATAATAGTCCAAATTATTTGATCTTCATTTCCAAACAGGAGGTTGAGAGTTTGAGTGCCTTTAAGAGCTTGTTGTGGGAATGAGAGTGTTTGCATTAACTTACAAAACAACAACCACAAATAAATAAATAAATAAATAAATATATATATATTTATTTATTTATTTATTTATATATATATTTATTTATTTGTGGTTGTTGTTTTGTAAGTTAATGCAAACACTCTCATTCCCACAACAAGCTCTTAAAGGCACTCAAACTCTCAACCTATATATATATATATATATATATATATATATATGATAAATAAATAATAGAGAGAACTCTTAAGGTGCATTTCTCTTAAGGTGCATTTTTTTTTTTTTTTTTTTTTTTTCATTCCAATCATTTCATTGTTTTGGTATGAAATTTAAAATGGGAATGTCTATTCTCTTGAAATGAAAATTCATTTTAAGGAATAAAATCTTTTTCATTTTAAGCCATTCTATTTCCAAAAAAATCATTATGACGTGGTTTTGAAACATGAGGGTTTTTTTGGGAAGTTAACTTTTTTAAAAAAAAAAAAAAAAATTAGTTGAGAATGAATTTTCATATTTTTGAAAATTTTAGCAGCCCTAACTTAAAACCGACAGACATAAAAAAAATATGACTGTTATTCAAAGTTATTCAAAATTTCAACTTAAATAGGTATGATTACTGTTTCCATACAATACTTCCTTTCCCTATCCTTATCTTTTTAGTTTTCCATAGCCATATCATCTTCTTTTTCTTTTTCATATAAGTTTCATGGTACTCAAATTTAATAATTTGATTTATATAAAATCTAGAGAAAAAATTGTAATATTTTATAATTTTTTAATGATTTTGCATTTAAAAAAAAAAAAAAAAATCTCTCCTTCTCTTTGTTTTTGGAAGTTAGATAAATCATTAACTTTGATCATCATAGCAATTAACAAAACAAATATTAATAATAAAAAATACAATGTGAAGTATCTCAATGGTTTTTACTGAGATGGAATTTGAAATATAAAACAAATATACATTACATATACATAGTAATTGAAACTTTAATTGCCAATAAAAATAACTTTAAAAAAAAAGAATTACAATTTTCTAAATAGTCAATTGCCTTATATTCTAAATATATATATATATATATAGAACAACCCAATAAAATGGTCATTCGAGGACTATTGTAAATAGTCCAATATAAGCATTAGTTTCACAAAAACCTTCTCTAGGCAAAGATACAAATACTTAATCAAGTGCATAAAAAAGAAGTTTATATTTAATCAATCTCTTCCATAAAGAGACAAAGAAATCAGTTTTCATGCTACCTCGTCCAATTAGTCTCTGGTACGCGATGATAATATAGTCAAGAAAACAAAATAAAAATAAAATTTACCAAAAAAAAGTACACAATTGCGATATAAATAATTAAATGACATGGACAACAGTTTCAACCAACAAATTGAATAATAAGATAAAAAAAAAATGTACCCCGAAATTAAATTTAATTATAAAAAATGTATAATTTTCAATAGATTAAATTTAATTATAAAAGGGTATGAATCATCACCAGAAGTATAAATCACCTGTGGGTTTCTATTCTCTACAATCCAAATCAAACTAATTAGGAGTAATTTTCTACTAAGCTACCACAATTTCACACTAATGTCACAATCCTTAGAAACAATCTTTGATTCCGCCGTTAAGTTATCCACCGTCACATCACATTTCACCTTAACGGTAATCGTCCACGTCTTAACGCCACCAACCTTGACCTTAACGGGAGCTCTCAAGTTCAACCTGAACGGCACCGTTTTCCGCTTCAGTTCCGCCACTAACGCCGAGTGAACGGCGCTCGATAAAACCACTTTAGAACCCTTCAACGCCGTCTCAAAAACCGTGACGTTGTTGGACGGCTGGTAAAACGCCGGCAAAACGCCGTCGCACAAGTGGACGTCCGTGTAGTAGACCATAACAGAGCTTCCTTTCTCGTAATCGATACCGATCTTGTCGTTAGGGTTTTGAGCTCTGACGGTGACGTCAAACTCCGGGGAGATCGACGACGACGACGTCAGGTTGAATCCCCGTATGGCAATGCTGTTGACGGAGTACTTGGGGAGTTCAGGCCGGACAACGAGGTAGAAGACGCCGGCGGCGACGGCGAGGAGGACGACGAGGAGGGCTGCGAGGCCGAGGGTCCAGCAGAGGCAGCGGCAGCAGCATCTGTGCTTAGGCTTCTGGCGGCTGTAGCTCTGGTAGCGGCGGGCGTTCTCCGGCGGCGGGTAACGGTAGATCTGGTCCTTGGCTACCTGGATGACGTAAGTTGACGGCGGAGTCACCGGCTTTTCCGACGTCGGATCGGCCTGTTTTGAAGAGACTTCAGGTGGGTTCTTGAACGACATCGTTTCTGCTTCGCCGGTCGCCGGTGGATTTCCTAGTACAGATAGAGCAATTACCTGAAATTGATCTTGAGAGGTCCGCGACTGAGTCCGGTGGTGAATGGAATGATGAGAGAGAATGGAGTCTTGGAACAGTTCAGACTTGAGAGAGGGAGAGAGAGAGAGAGACAGTGGGGGACTACAAGCGTACAACCAAACACTACGTGAGCATATACATATATATGTGTGTGTGTATATTAATATATATATATATATAGTAGAGAGAGAGAAGGTGAATGGATAAAGTGAGGTACAGTTCATACTTTGATGTCAAGAAACGCGAACACTGAAAACACACAGAAAGCGAAACAGTCAAGCAAGGGCTACTTGTGTAAAAAGACAATATTAGCCTTTTGAATATAATGACCCTTGCTTTCCCTTTTTTTTTTTAAATTGAAATGTACAAGCTAATATTACATATTAATTATGTTTCTTTAAATAATAGTTAATTATTCAAGTTTGGCTAGATATATTTTTTTTCTTTCCAATAAATCTTTCTTACCGGTTGTGGAAATATTAATTTTATGGACTTAATTATATAAGGAAATAAAAAAAATTGGGCCTTATGTTATTATTGGAATATAATAATATAAGGAAATTAAATTTTATTAAGGAAATAACAAATTTGGTGCTTTTGCTATTGGTTAGTAAATAAAAATTTTAGTAGCTAAAATTAACAAAAATTTTAGGAAGGTAACATTGTATAAAGAAATAAAAATATTTGGAATCCAGCGTAAGTCCTCTAGGTCTCCAACGGTCCGTCAAGTATTTAAAGGATAAATTATATTGATTTGAATAAATTATAATTGGATAGATCGTTCAGCATTTATTATTTTGTTTTTTTCAAAAATTTAGAACATGTGTTCAATAACACCCTCAATATCTATTTTCCGCATACTTGCCCAACAAATTTTTAAAAATTGACAAATTTACTCTTACACTTAAAACACAATTGAATATAACTTACCATACTATATATGTAAATCTAATATATATATATATATATAGATATAGATATATAATTATATCGTTTCTTCCATATGGGAACCTAATAAATTTTCAATTTTTTTGCCAATTGATTGAAAAAAAAAAAAAAAAAAAATTCAACTTCCAAATCCTAAAATTTCCTTCTTTACTGAAAGGATATTTTCTCTCATATATATATATATATATACATACACTTTTTTTTTTTGGGTTAATCCGGAGCATCCGGGAAGGATATATACACACACATTATACACACATTTACATATATAGCATGGTAAGGTATTAGAGAGGGATGAAGATTGTGGAGAGGTGGTGTGGGTCGTCAGATTTTGGGGATGTTACTGCGTGGTCTCCAATCTCCATGGTAGGGTGTGCTGGGACGAGTCTCCATTGTAGAAAGAGAGAGACATTTATAATTGCATATACCACTGTAATACAAACATATTTTTGACTTTTCATATTTAAATTTATTTTTATATTAATAAATGTTTGTAATATAATATATTATTATATATAACGATATTATTGACTTTTTCATATAATTTATTACTTCTGAAAATGAAGAAGATGTCAAAGTAATAAAGACTAAACTGTCCATCCTGGTGTGATATGTCTAAATTTCAAGGGAAGTGAGTATAATTTACCAGTATTTAATGCTTATCCATTTTCTCATTCAAGAATGAGCCGCTGGCTACTATGGGTCTACTCCATGTACTTATGTATATAATATATGTACTTAGATCTATTTTGATTTTATCCACACAGTGACTCATTCAGTAATTGAAGGGGCTTTTTACTTTTTTTCCATAAAAACCCAGTCGTTGTATTCATATTTGAAAGGGGAATGTCAATATTGTTTATATTTGTAATAAAAAAAAGTAACCAACGGTAGAAAATAAGTTATTATTCTAATGAGTTATAATATAGTAGTTATAAAGTTGAGCATTTATTCAATAAAAAAATATAATTATCATGAATAATGATAAGTCGTCTCTTGCTTTTCGACTTGAGAAAAAATAATGATAATAATAATAATCATAATAATAATAATAATTCTAAGTACGTAGTAATATTTTTAGTATAGACATATTACTAAGATAAGGGATAGATCTTTGGACTTTAATTGCCGACTACTTCTCCGAATATAACGTGATTGGGAATGAGTCGAAGAGAGTTATGATACTATAGTTCGGGTTTGTGATGTACATGGGTGTTCATGTTGTGATAAAGTCCAACCCAAATTGAGGTGAATTTTAAAAATAAATAAATTTCAGTCTTAATTGCAACTAATTTTTGACCATTTAAGAAGGTATTAATTATTTAAATTGAGTATTTATAATTTCGATCCCCTCTTGGAGGTTATTTGTAAGATATTTGTATATTTATTCAAAAATTTGAGTTATTACATACCTATTAATATATAATTCCGATCCCCTCTTGGAGGTTATTTGTAAGGCGTTTGTCTATTTATTAAAAAATTTAAGTTATTACATACTCACTTATTTATACTTATTTATTTTTTTCATCCAAATTCGATGTAGGATAATTTCACTCTTGTAACATTTTTCTCCATCTGAACTTGCAACGCCCTTATTGCAGCTCGGCCATCCTATGTACCCCGGGTGAATACCCAAACGCCCTCTGGGCCGAGTACTTGACGGGACATTGGATGAAGGAGTGGGTTTGGCTCTGATATAAACTGTTTATTCAAAAGCTTAAGTTATTACATACCCACTCATTTATACTTATTCATTTTTTCATCCGGATCCGATGTAGGACAATTTTACTATTATAACATTCTCCCCCACCTGAACTCGCAACGCCCTTATTGCGGCTCGGCCACTTTGTCTACACGGAGTGAAGACTCAGACGCCCTCCGGGCCGAGCCGAACACTTGACATGACACTAGATCAAAGACTGAGTTTGACTCTGACATCAATTATAACGGGTGGACGTTTACCCATTTACCTAAATGCTTTTAAGCTATTAGGCAGTATTGCATACACACCCATTTTTCTGTCTAGATCCGATGTGGGACAAGCTCCCCCTGTAACATTCTCTCCCACCTGAACTTGCAACGCCTTCGTTGAGACTCGGGCCACCCTACCTACCAGGTGTGAAGACCCGAACGCTATTCGGACTGAGCGCTTGGCATGACACCGGATCAAGGATTGAGTTTTGTTCTGATACTAACTGTAAGGATGGACGCTTGCACATTCATTTAAAAACTTAAGTTATTAGGTAGTGCTGCATATCCATTTATTTTTACCCGTTCGATACTACCGACCCATTTTTACCCATCCGAATTAAATGTGAGACAAATTTCCCTGTAACGTTATTACACAATCGATTACATAATGATCACTTGTTTGAAAAATTTCTGAAGTTCATCCAGCGCTCCTAAAATTAATTATAATAAAGATGAAAGTGAGAGAATGAATAAGAAATAGATTGTGATCTTCATTTTTAAGTTAGCTATTAAGAAACAGTATTATTTCTAGAAGTCATTTTAACCACGCTCGGTCTCACTTTGACTTTGTATGCTCAAGACCAGTGAAATCCTGATCCAATTACAATCGATTACTACATGTTGTAGGGCATAAAAGTCAAAACACATGCATGATATGTTGCTCCTATTTTCTCACCAATTCAATATATACCTGTTTATATATATATATATATATATATATATATATATAAAGTCAGAACACACGCATGATACGTTGCTTCTATTTTCTTACCAATAGTCCTAGTCAGCAATGGATAAAAATTTGCCTCTCTTCTCTCAAAGTGTTTACTAAATCTCAATAATAGTATTGATTAAGTCTTTCATTATTTTTCGTAAGTAATTATAACTTGATTTTCAACATCATCATCATTTTTGTTATTTTATATTAAAAATCATGTCACCCATTTTATTTAATCTTTTAAATTTCTTTTAAATAATTACATCCCATCTCATGTCACTCATTAGCCAACGTTAATGCCACAATAAAAAATTTAAGTGCCTCATAATTTTTTTTTTTTTTTTTTAAATACAACAAACTCCTCTCAACTATCACAATTTTGTAAAAAAATAAAAAATAAAAAATAAAAAACCATAAATAATTAGTCTGGCAAAAAAAATCTGGAACTAGTTAAAAGATTTGCAATATACATACTTATCATGTTATATGTGTATCTGTGAGTAAATAGGAAAATAAAATGAAGAAAACTAAGCATGCATACATGTACGCAATTTACCCTATATATGAATATATATATATATATATATATATATATATATATACAGTGACGAACCCAGAAAATTTGGTGAGGGGGGGCGAATTTTTAATTTGTGGGTACAAAATTATATGATGGGTTTATTTTTGTAATTTTAGTAGGGTTTTTTTCATAAATTTTAAAAAAATTTAAGTATAAAATGAAAAAAAAAAAATCAGTGGGGCAAATTATAATTATAGTGGGGCATCTTCATAAATTATCAAAATTTGAAGTATAAAATGCTAAAAAAAAAAGAATCCAGTGGGGGCGAATTGTAATTTTAGGGGGGCATTTTCATAAATTTTAAAAACATTAGGGTATAAAATGAAAATATTAAAAATTCAGGGGGGGCATCTGCCCCCCCTAGTCCCCTGCTGGGTCCGTCCCTGTATATATATATATATACACATATTAAATTAAAGGACATTAATGGGATTTTTAGCATTTTCCCCTGGTGTATGATGTACCGTTCTCTTATTTACCTAATAGAACCGGAAAAAAAAAATAAATAAATAATAAAAAATGAAACTAGTATTATAAGGGTAAACTTGTCATTTCACTGGAGATCACTCTACCATCTAACCGCGTTTGCGGCTGAACACCGCGGGAGCTTTCATCACACGTCTAAGAAACACCCTGTGATCTGATGAGAGGTGGGTCCCTCTCTCTGTCTCTCTCCTAACTGGCCAACCTGTAAAGGTTGGCTGTATATGACTCGTGTGATATCTTTTTTTTTTTTTGGAAAGGTAAAATAAGCACTCGTGTGATATCTTGCTTAAGTATTCCTGTACTAGTATATATATATTCTTATAGTATCATATATACAGAGACAGAGAATAAGGAAAAAAATAAAAAATAAAAAGAAAGAAAAATATTCTTCAGCTGCTGCCCCTTTGTTCCGGCCACCTATTTGCTAATGTTATGGGTGTCCATTGTATTATTAATTTATATATATATAATTATATATATAGATGTAAGATTTAAAATACATTTAAATAAGTTAAATGCTGGTTTGAGCTCCACTTGCCTACCACGATTTCAATGGTAGCATTAATTTGATTTTTATATTTTTAATATAAGAATTTATTTTTAATAAAGACATTTACCTAATGCCAAGGGATGCAATTTTTAAAACTACTATTATCCAATTTGTCGCCAGTAATGGCGGCCACCATCGCGTCAACAAGGAACCTGCCAATTGATTATATATATATATATATATATATAGGCACACAGACAGACATACTTAAATTGAAAAGAGACAGACACACTACTTTTGAATAAATATAATGTATTTATTAATGAAATGACATTATTGTAATCTAATTAAAATCAAGAATTATTAAGTTTATAAATATTTTTAAGAAAGTGGAATGCAGTATTCCTAATTAAACAACCATAAATAGCATCCAATTTTAAGAGAGTTTGTTTTTTTTTTTAAAAAAAAAAGGAAAATGATATATAACAGTCCATATTTAAATGGTTAGTGTAATTTATTCAGATTATAACAACTACAACAATGATCAAATTGAAAACGTGAGAAAGTGCAATAAAAGAACAATTACTATAAGAGGTTGGTTTCACTTTTATTTCCTATTTTTTCCGGAACACTGTTAATTTATATTTAGGTCACAAGATGCTTCTTTTTATTTGTGACATAAAAATTATTGTCATAAAAAAAGTTGTTTTAACCACAACCCTTTGTTTCAACACAATGAATTGTAAAAAAAAATAAATAAATAATTTAGTTGTCAATAAAACATATACTTTTATTTGTGACAACAAACCCTTTATTTATTTTTAATTTCTAATTTTAAGCTCTACTAATGTAATTTTTATCCAGATTGTTATTTTTTTTGGTTCTAAACAGCACTGTAGGCCCAAAAATGGAGAAGAAATCCCCACCCCTGTACCCTAGTGGAGCCTTTTTCCTTGGGACTCAAGTTTGGATCTCTGGACGGTTAAGTAGAAGGGTGGATCGGATCAATTGGGTCCATCTTCTGTTCGGCCCAATCATTTGGCTCTAGTCTGCGTTCGGTTTGAGCCCATGATCTTGACACGCGTCACTTCATGATTAGGGATATTTAGTCATACTCTAAGTCTAGGGATGGCAAAAGTCCCCTCCCCCCCCCCGCGGGCAAGGACCCATGCCGCCCCATTTGTGGGTAATTTTGGAGAATCGATTATATAAATGGAGACTACTTTAAAAAACCCATCGGATTTTGAAAAGGCTTTTGGGATGGTTCTCCCATGCTATCTCACCCTGGAATTAGGGCTGCAACTCGGGCGGGCTCAACCCGAAAAAACCAGAGCCCAGTTCAAATTTTTGTGGATTTGGGCAATGTTTTTTTAATTTCGTTTGGGCCTAAGCTATATATTTTGAGCCCAAATTCAATTCGGGCTGAGCTTGGATTGATATGGATGAAACCCGAAGCCCAACCCGAGCCCGAAAATATTATATATATATATTTATAATTATACTTAAGTTATAAGAGTGTAGTAGCCAAGTTGGTAGTCTGTTTGAGATTTATGCTCAAGTCATGCGTGCAGTGTTAATTGATTTATTTTTTACACACAAATTCTTCTAAGTTGGACTTAGTGCGGGCTCAAGTTAGACAAATTATATATAGGCTGGGCTTGGACAGCTCGGCTTGGGCTGAAGGTTTTTTATATGGGCCTAGCCTGAGATGAGTGCCAAACCTGCCCAACCCGCTCGAGTTACTGCCCTACACCTGGAATATACCTGTTTGGGACGGTTTTGGAAAACCTATTAAGTAAATAGGGGCAGGGATGAGAGCTGCTTTGAAAAACTAGGCGGCGAGTGTTGGAAAAGAAGAGCTCCAAACCGTCCCATTGTCATCCCTATCTAAGTCACAATTCTTCCGCTCCGTTCCACTATTTCAGACTTACTTTTATTGCTTTCCCTGTTCCCACTCTCAAATTTGGTCCGCTTCATGTCTGTACTCTAGTACTATCCTCCACAAATCCAGTCATTTACATGGTTCTCCTTGGCACTCTAAATTCAGAATGGAAAACAACATAATTGCAATTTTCAATAACCCATGTGAACAAACATTCAAGTCTTCTTCAACGATCAAGCCAGAAGCCAACAGATGAATACATATTTATGTCTTTTAAGAAGAAGATTGAGTACTGCACAATTGCAATCACAACCATAGGAACTTTGTCAAGTTTACTCTCAATTAATCAACCATTTTGATGAACCTGTTTTCCACCAACATAGAATATATATACTGCCCTGTGATTGATCATAAAGCCGAAGAGTTCTTAGACTTGAGTCGAAATCATGGTAAGACTTAATCCTCAAGAATGGAGGTTGGGCAGACATTAAGAGATCATTTAACAACATTGTGATCTTTAATTTGCAGTGCCTTCGTGTTGCCCGGACACCTAAATTGACTGAACAATAATATTTCTCATCATACCAAAGGAAAAACGGGCTGCATTGGTTCTCTATATTACTCTACCATCGCAGCATTGTCACCTTCCCCAATGCTTCATGTTGCTTCATGTTTTGCCCTAACCTGCAAAAAGAACACACATTCGTAGGTTAACCACCTATAAAAAAGAAAAGTGCGCACACTTCAAATTCTAAGAAATCATTTTTCATTAAATTTGCTTCAAACGTGCCCAACTAGCTGAATGTGTCGAGAAATTTCAGCCGCCAGTAGTCAAATTTTTTGAACTGACAATTGACCTTGCCCAAATGACAGTTCTTTGATTAATCTTTCAGTAGTAAGCCTGATAAAGTAGGTATTGCATTAAGCTGCTAAGACCATAAAAAAGTCAACTCACCAAAGCTTCCTCAGTCACCAACCTAAAAGTCCATTACGAGAACCTTATTAATTAGTGTACTATATATACACACATGAAAATAATATAATTAACCCAACTATACAATTTTATATATTTCTGGAGGAAAAAAAAGCTCTCACCACCAGTGGTGATCACTTATATCTTCTAACCATCTGCAATATTTCAGCAATTATATCTGTTAATGCATGATAAAAGACATATTAGACTATTGCGTCTTGGTGGTTAAATGCTGCAATTCCCTTGGATACTTACAGCCTTCTGATAATCTCTGCACCTATGCTGCTGTTTGAAGCCCTGGAATTTCTTGAATAAACTAAGCCTATGACTTAACAGAGACTAGCAAGAAGGTTACTAATTCAAAGTCAACAATGGACACCATCAAATTTTCAACTTCTTTCCTTTTGGTTTAATCAAAATGGATCAGCATTACATTGAGTAAGCGTTAAAATTTTGATAAAACTATTTCAAATCAATTCTGATAGGGAACTTATGAATAATTCCAGGTGGCAAATGCTTCAAAACTAAAATCAGTACTATTCCATCTTTTAGCTAACAGCAGAAAAGAAACTTCCTGCAAAGTAGAGAAGAGGTGCCAGTTCTTCCATAATGTCAAATTGCTCATGCTGAAAATTGTTCGGGAACTGGTCAGATTCTTACAACCAAGAAGCTATCCATGCCACTACTATGAGAATTTATGGGTGTGGTAAAAGGTGCTTGAACCATGCTTAAAGCTCATTAACTAGAACTAGTACATGAGTGCTAGTCCATCTTCGTATAAAATGGTCAGAGTTTTGAGATTTACCTTCAGGAGTCATTATGAACATTCTGAAGTAGATATCGAGCATTGTACAAAACAGAATTGATCTCCTCATTTGAGGCATCAAGCAAGCGCAGCTCCTTGATCTCCTCCTGCCATTCTTCCATCTGTTCTTTATGTATTCTGCAAACAGCAGACAGAAAGTTTAAAAATTCATAAAATAAACCTCATCTATAATGATTTCAATCCTAAATGATTATTTCATAACTCACAAAATCATTCGTTCTTCAAATTCATTACTCAGTTCCTTGAAAAGCGACTTCCCTGATTCCAACAGCTCAGATACCTTCAAGAAATGATGATTAGAAGAGCATACATTAGAAGAGGCAATTATATAATGTTTATAGAAAAAAAGATGCTTTAAGCATCGAAACATGGTATAATCTCAAAGTTGACATATTAATGCGCTTGCTTGAGTCTTTGAGATGATACCACACTTCATTATATGAGGCATATTAATAAGCATAGCTACCAGCTGAGTGAAGCGATCTATCTTTTCAAGAATGTGATTGACGTCAAGCTCCATCTGTTTAGATAATGCAGCATGGATCTTACTTTCATCTTCTACAATCTCTACAACTGCCCCATCTCCTACAATCATTTCCTTTTCTTCCACCTAATAACTTATAATAAATCAGATATAAACATAACAAACCACAAAATGAGAGAAAGAGATCCTTTACTTTTTGCTTTGATAAAGCTCTGAAAGAGTTAAGAAACAAACATACGGGTAGTTTCATGCGTTTCCTCATGACTTCAGTCTCTTCATGTTCCATTTGAATAATGCTTGTTAAAACTGGAGAAGAGTAGGCATATCTTAAGGATGTCATAATTTGCAAGATATCAATTACTGAAAAATAAAAATATTGTGCCTCTGTGTGTGGGTAGAGAGAGAGAGAGAGAGAGAGAGAGAGAATTGTTAATACACGAGCATCTAAGATAGGTAAAACCATGTGCATTTTACACTATGCTATACATATGATATGCATTGCATCAGTCTAATAAATTCGTTATTGGTTTCCAAGCAATTAACTTCGTTATGTGGATATGATGAGAACTCTACTTTCTATATTTGCTTTTATTCATTGTCCCAAAACAGAGAACAGTAGGAGTGATAGAAAATTCTAATAGATGGATAAGATATATGAAAAAAGGAAAAAGAAAACAAGTTCTGTCCATCTTGAATCAATCATGAAAGTGTAACTAAAATATCTGTTTATACTCTGTATCTGCCACAACAAACTAGAACAGACAATTTAGTATGCATAGAGCTTTACGAGAATCTTAATTACCACAAATGAATTTATATCAAGTGGATAATTATTGAACCAGTACCTGAAAATTCCAATATAAAAACCACAAAATAACCTCAAACTGCACATGATAGTAAGAAGGAAATAGTTCATAATAATCATCCTCTGCAAATCAGGGATAACTATTAGCAAAATATTGCAACTGCACTAAAACTAATTTGAAGGTGAGATTGGAGATAACCTCACTGACATAATGCACCAGAAATTTTCCTTTCCATTAGAAATGGGCTTACGAAAGAAAATTGAGAATATCCAGAAAAAAAAAAAAAAAAAAATCATTTCAAATTACAGTGATCTCAAGTTCACTTCAGCAATCAGCTGAAAAGTTCAAATTACCTCAAAAAATCAATTCAAATTACAGTAATCTCGATTTCACTTCAGTAATCAGCTGAAAAGTTCAAATTACCTCAAAAATTCAATTCAAATTACAATAATCTCGATTTCACTACAGCAATCAGCTGAAAAGTTCAAATTACCCCAAAAATTCAATTCAAATTACAGTAATCTCAATTTCACTTCAGCAATCAGCTGAAAAGTTCAAATTACCTCAAAAATTCAATTCAAACACATCAAACATTTAGAAAATGAAATAAAAGATGAAACCTAATTCGTATTGAAAGAAAACAAAAATTTGAGATTATCGTAACAAAGTCAATTCAAATTACAGTAATCTCAAATTCACTTCAGCTATCAAACGAAAAGTTCAAATTACCTCAAAATCAGTTCAAATACATCAAACATTTAGAATCTGAGACAAGCGATGAAACGTAGAACACATTGAAGGATCAACGAAGAGAGAGAATGCAGGAAATCGAGAACAAAGCTGGATCGTGAATTCGTTATTACACAATAATATATGTATATATATATATATATATAGAGAGAGAGAGAGAGAGAAGCGGTACCTTTCCAGAGATAGAAAATTTTCAATGATCGCCGCTCAACGATCAGCTTCAACGATTGGCTTGAATTTCAGTTGATTTGAGAGAGAGAGAGAGAGAGAGAATTAGTTCAAACACATTAAATTAAAAATGAAATCTGAAACACATTGAAGGATCGATTAAGAGAGAGAATAAAGGAAAACAAGAATAAAAGCTGAATAGTGATTACACAAGAATACATACATACATACATACATATATATATATATATATAGAGAGAGAGAGAGAGAGAGAGTATACCGTTCGAGATGAAACTTGAACGATCAGAGTCCAGAGATGAAATCTGAGAGCAATGCCAGGAAATGAGGGAAAAAAAGAGTATATGAAGGGGGCCAAGGGCAATATGTTATACTCCGGTATACGGAGTATTTCTGAAGGATACGACATCGTTTTTGTAATAACAATTTATCTAGAGAGTTCCCTTCAAATTTCAAAAGAACAAAAACGATGACGTTGGGATATTGGCGGGAAACGAGGGGAGTAAAATGTCAGCTATTTATTTGTTTTTTATATATTTTTTTAGAGGAACTCTAGAGAGTGTGTTCTTTTGATTGTATTGACGAGATTTCCTGTTTTTTAGCCTTTTTGGATTAGCAAAGTTTAGGGGTGTGGGAAAGTTGAAAACGTCGTCTAAAAGAAAAAATCACTAATTTTATTTATTTTATTTTATTTATTTATTATTATTTTTTTTTATGGGTAATGATACTTTCACCAATTTGGTATTGTGAATTACCTAACTGAATGTTTCTGATTGGTTATTTATGCACAATACATGTAAGTGGAGGGTCCACTCCTTTATTTATCCCATTTATTGTAATGAATTAGCAGACCTATTTCTTTTAATTGGTTCATTTATGTATAAATAAATAAGTGGTGTCCTCCACTTACATTTATTGTGCATAAATAATTAATTAGAAACATTCAATTTGGTAATTTAGTGTAACAAATCGGTGCAAGTATCATTACTCTTTTTATTATCTTTCTCGTATTATTAGATTTTTAGCTGGTGTTTCTACAGCTCAGTGAGTTAGTGCTTCATATGAATTTTGGAGTGTCAGGTTGTCAGATTTCAACTCTTTATATCTACTAATATAATTTTTAACACTTATTGTCTTGTAAAAATAAAAATAAAAAATAATATTAGGTTTTTATAATATCCCCACTTTTTACTATAATTTTATTTATTTATTTTGTTTCTAATTGGTTTTTTCCTTTGTATATTGATATATGTTCTGATATATACATCTACTAGTGTAGATATGCTTAGATTTATGGATTTGAGATATTGGTAATTACAAGGAACCAGAACAACATAAAAAGTAAAAAAATATATATATTGTTGTCAAATAGGCAAAGATCAAGAATTAGTTACTCGGTGGCTTCCATAACTAATTGCAGCAAATTTCCCTCAAAGTGATAAAAGTATAGGTGGTTGCTATTATGTACACTATTTGGACAAAGAAGAACTAAGGGTGCGTTTGGATACATAAGAGAGAAAAGAAAAAAATAATAGTATTAGTTAAGAGAGAGAAAAGAAAAAAATAATAGTATTAGTTAAGAGAGAAAAAAGAAAAAAATAATAGTATTAGTTAAGAGAGAAAAAAAGAAATGAAAGAATAGTAATAATTTCTATTTATATTTGGATAGGTAGGAGAAATAAGAAAAGAAAGAAAGGAAATGATAGTTATTCTTATTTAGATAAGATAGAGAAGAAAAAAGAAAAGAAAGGATAATGATCAAATTACGATCCTACCCTTTTATAATGTCCCTAATTTCCCATTGCCTTAAAGCAAACTCTCCGTGCTTGTTTTGCATCCATTGTTTCTTTTTCTTCTATTTCTTAGGGACACTTTTAAATTTTTAATCAAAATACACCAAGAATTAATTAAACCAATATCTCTGAAAATACTTTTACTTTTTGGTCAAAATAAGTGGTTTCTTGAGAAGGTGACATTTTTTCAGAACAAAAAAAAAAAAAAAAATTCCCATTGAACTGGTTTTTCTTCTGTATCTCCTTTTAATTTCAACCCTTTTCCTGATTAGTATTCTCCTCAGATTTTGCAACAGTTTTTTATTTACAAGACATCAATTTCTTATATAGATTATTTTGCAGCACTTTTGGCAGATTTTGCAACTGTGTATTCATTTAAATCTGGAGCATTTCATTACCATCTTACTATATGTTCTATCACTTTACTGAGCTGGTGGAAGGGGACTCATCGAAGAAAATTGTTGAAATAATTTGCCGGACAAGCTTGCTGAAGTCTGAAAACCATTGTGGTCGAATTGAGAGGATCTGAAAGTTCACAACATGCTAAAAAGCTCTTGTCCGGTTTGAAGAATACCGAGAAATGGTGAAGATCAAAGCCAGCAAACTACGAAAGAAACACCCTCGTTGTCTTGCTGATGGGAATGAACTTTTGAGGTTTTATGGCACAACTTTGGCATGCTCTCTTGCCATGAATGGATCATCCACTCTCTGTATATCGTATCATCCAGTCTCAAAATGAAGTGCCACAATTGTGAATCTCAGATTTTATTCTTCAATTGGAGTCCAGGAAAGAAAAAGTGAAAAACTGCTAACCCAATTGATGAGTGCGGATCAAACACAAACATATCATGTAATTAAAAAAAAAAAAAGGAAAAAATCCTCAATTTCTCAGCAATGTAACAGAGAAATATTTTCCGGTAGAAACCAACCTAACGGATTGCAAATCAATGACAATAACAACAGTAATAGAATTCAAAGAACAGCTAAAATTTCCAACCAAAAATCCAGAAGGGATCAAAGATGATTTCATTAACTGCATACTATGTTAGCTCACTAATAACATGACCTGTATATGAAATTTCCAATCAATTACAAAATATATATATATATATATATGGAATGCTTGTTATCTCATGTGTGTGTGTGTATATATATATATATACACACACACATGAGATAACAAGCATTCCACAAAAGATTATAACATCTCATTAAAATAAAACAACATATGGTCTCAAAGTTAATATCTCAAAAGCTTCATAGCGAAAGAGAATCATAATATAACCAAACATAGAAATAGTAGAAAGTTCCACCAATTGTCCCAAAATATTGCCAAGTTAAAAGTCATCAACGATTCACATCCCCAAAAAACAATATAACTAAAACTATAGTCAACGTCCAGAACCATCAGACATCAATTCCTTTAAGAGTTGCTTGCGATATTTAAATGGGCAACCAAGAAATTGTGTCATTCTATCAGGATGGTCATGCTTAGTCAAAAAAATGAAAACCTTAACAATTGCATGCTCTTCTATTCCGATTGCTGCCAACCCCTTAAAGATTTCTTCTTCATATTTTCCCTTTCGGTTGCACGTTTCATAAATATCGTTGAATGTTTTATGAACATCATTTCCCCCTTTAAGAGCCACAACACCACTTCTTTCTACTCCAATCATTTCATTATCTTGATCAACAGTCGAAGAATTCCTTTTTCTTTTTCCTTTTAAATAAGTGGAATGAGAAGGTACACTTGAAGGTGTTTCAGGAGACATCATATTCATATTTTCAAACTCAGTATCCAAAGAACCCGTATTATCCAAACTTGCTTCATTCCGTGACACCAAGTGATCAATACCATAAATGTTATCCATAGGATCCTCATTACGAGTTGGTACCCATTCATTACTCCCCTCACTAGCACTTGCTGCTGATTCATTATTCCTCTCCCCATCACTTGCTGCCCATTTATCATTTTTCTCCTTAGCAGTTAGGGCATTAAACCCCTTTGTCCTATCCTTGGCAAATAAATCTAGTAACTTATCATAATTGGAAATCGGAGTAGTCTTCCATTTCTCAGCTACTGGTTTAGCTTGTTGCCAAAACATAAAAAAGAAAAAAAACATTTATCATTATTTCAAAATGAAAAAAATAAAAAAGAAATGTATCTTTTAAGATTAAAATAATAATAATAATCACAATTGGAAAACTAACCGCAATCAAATCAGTCCAAACTTCAAGTTCAGCGCTCCACATTTTTGTTTCTTGGCTCCACGCAAACCCACTCAAACCAGTTTTGAATAAGTCAAAACACTCGTTAAAACGACTCTTAATTATTTTCAATCGATTCTTCACTTTAGCTTTGTTGATATCAATGCCTAGTCTTTTTTTCAATTCCTCAACAATTTCACGATAAGCTTTTGTCGTGAATGTCCCATCAAGCATATGCCCCTTGAGATATTGATTATGTAATGCATCCACAAATATATCATCCATTCGTGCATTCCAATACAATCTATCCCTCTTCGACACACCACTTATGCTTGATTCTTTAGTCATTCTTATGTCTATATAATAACAAGTATAATATAAAGAAAGGGGCAAAAAGATAAAGATTCAATTGAAGATAGATAAATAAAAAAATGCATACTAGGTAGGAGTTTATAACAAGTTATTAGCATTCTACATCTCCAAATCGAAACAAAAACTCATAAAAGACACCAAGTTATTTCAAGCAAATAAACATATGAAATATCACATTTGATTAGCTACATAGTCATGCCACATATGGGAAGCTATTGAATCTCTCAAGTATTCCCCCAAACTATGATCTTCACTTCTCTCTATTGGACCACCCTCTTCATTTCGAGTTTCATTCAACAGCTCCCGGTCTACTTCATTAATAAGGCTTCCATCAGGATCCATGCCCATTAAATAGTTGTGTATGATGTAATATGCTAAAATAATATCAACTTGAGTTTTAACATCATATGTTGGTTCAGTACTGCTTCTAAAGATAGGAAATCGTTTCTTCAACACACCAAAAGTTCTCTAAATAACATTGCGTAGTGATGCATGTCGAAGGTTGAATAACTTTAAAGGATTCTCTGGTCAGCGTGAGGACCATTCTTTTAAATGGTAGCGCACACCTCTATAAGGCGTGATAAGTCCAACCTTCGATGGGTATCCCGCATCAACAAGATAATATTTCCCAATTAAGAAATATAATAATTAATATTGGCTTCATGTTAATAATTTTTTTAATTTTTTTTTGTTAATATTAACAAATTTACCTTGAGGAAGTTTTAATTTATCTCCTCGTCTTTCTAGTGCACTAGTCATAACTCTTGAGTCTGAAGCGGTACCCTCCCATCCAGGTAAGACATAGGTGAATTTCATGTCAAATGAACAAACAACTAACACATTTATTGTTAGATAATTCTTCCTACCACAATATCTTGGTGCATCTTCGTTAGATACTCTCACACGAACATGTGTTCCATTAATTGCCCCAATGCAATTCTGAGAG